TTATCCCCCCCCCCCCCCCCCCCCCAGTATAACCATTATCTTGTCTGCAGTATGAACAGACCTTTAGCTTTTTCAGAGTTTTCAGTTGAATCTTACCAAGATGCAGGTGGCTGGTAGCAAGTTACTGAATAGCCTGCTGCTAAGGCATGTGGCTTAACTGTGGTGCAGTTTGTCCAAATAGAATAAGGGTTCTGTAACAACTGGACACTTGATAACTTAAAGCAATATTAAGTTGACAGCCCTTGCAATGCAATAAATTAACCTGCTTTTAGCCAGCAAATCCATTTTTCTTTAACCAGAATGCTTGAACGTGCAAACATGTATTTATGAGCAACACGAGGTCTAGAATACATAGCCAAATTACAATACTTGTAATGTGAAAGTATTTTGTTTCTGGCATATTAGAACTGCTAAAGAATCCATTTGTTTAAATGACAACACTGTAGTATTTCCTAAATGTGATGATATGATCTCTTTAGTAGTGTTTTGTGGCTCCTTCCAATAATAAATAGTTTATTGAAACGCCCCACCATGAGCATATTGGTGAAGAATAAGAAGCAAGTCGTGTTCTTTTTTTTTTTTATCCACTAAATACCAGACTACCCAGACATAGGTGGTCCTCAGTAAAATGTAATCAGTGTAGTTTTTAAAGGTCAGCATGTTCACTAAACTTTTCTGTTCAGCTGCTATCCTGACATCTGACAGGTTTTAGACATGTGTACAGCTTTAACAGTTAAGTGATAGGTTTAACCATAAGTTAATACAATTCAGGCTTTAATTGGTGGCTTGGTATTAATGATATTGGGGTGGAAGCTTTGAAAAAAGAGTAAAGCCAAATTATTTACTTTGTTCTTGAGATGAAAATGTGCAATAATATGTATATTCCTTTCTCTTTCTTTAGTAAATATCTGTTCAGGTATATCTGTAAGAAGGCCATATATTAAAAACAAGGTCAAAATGCACAGAAGTAGGTATTGGCCCATTTGCTATTAATTTCAGGATTGATTTCCAAGTACAGAATCTAACATTATCCCAGCACAAATCTACAAGCAGATGTGGTGCCCCAGCTGAACAGATGCATTTAATTGCAATTACCTGTAAGTGAGATATTTAACATAAGATTTCCTCTTTGGACCAATATTTTGATCCACATACAATAGAATGGACAAATACTAGCTGATGAGGCATCTTTAAGTTGGAACTTAACATGTTAAGCATGATTAAAAATCAACTGGTGGCCACGTTGAAAGCTGGTAGAAAAATATTCTAACAGGTTTTCCTCTGGCTCGGAGAAGGACTTCCTAAAGCAGATTTGCAAGGTCTGTTTGGTTACCACAACTTCCTCACTAGGGGTTTGGAGTTCTGCTTTTAAAGCAGCATGTTCTCTAGTGAGACATTTAAACTTAGATAAAAGATATGGTGACGCAAGACTACTTTTTTTTGGTGGATTATTGCCTAGATATGTTAGTATGTGAATGGCCCTTATTCCATAAAGGCTACTGGACCTCCTGTGTTCCAGTCCTTGTACATCAGGGATTTGATATTGTTACCTAGGAAAGCCTGCTGCACTGCGAGCTATGTAGCTGACAGTCCCCTGTATATATTGAAGGATATAAATCTCCTGTAGTTGCTTGCCTCTCCACTGAATTGTGTAAAACAACAGCTAAATGAAGACTTTTCTAAAAACAAGTCTAGAGAATTTCATTGCAGTCTCCTATCTTTTAAATAGAGAACAAGCTATGGGCTTTGTATGTGTCTTATGAAAAGCAAACTGAGAGACAAAACATCATCTTGGAGACTTGCTCAGAAGTGTCCATCACACCCAAGGACAACAGCCCAGCATGAAACTGTCTAGAAATTTAGGGCCACAAACTTTCTTCTTGCTTCTGATAGGTTCTTCAAAAAAAACTTAAGGTCAGTTTTACTTTGGAAACTATTATGTGAAGGGAAGACAGTAAAAGGATTGACAGGGTTGAGTAGCATGTCCCCAGATGTTTCATTGAGGACTAGCCCTAGCCTGAACTGAGTTTGCACAATTCCCTCTATGTAAACACCACTTGGTACCACTTTGTGAATCAATATCTAAACTGACTTGGACCCTTAGATACCATCAACTAGAATATTTAACAAAAGTTTTTAGCTTTTGTGAATCCTATGAAGTGCCACAAATTTTGTGTACTTGAAAAAAAAATTAAAACTTTCAATAGCAGAATGGCAAATGTTAGCATTGCATTATAATAAAAAAAAAAAACCAAAATATAAGTGATATTTTATTTTTAATTTCCAGTTCAATTACATTGTTTCAATATAACATAGTATCTGCAAGAACTGATAGATAATATAAAGTTTATTGCGTTTTTGGGGTTTTTTTGCTTATAAAAATGTTTGTCTTGTCATTGTGCACAGTTCCAATTTTCTTGTATTTAATTGTTTCATGTCTGTATGTCATGTCTACTTTGGACTCAACTGGTAGGCAAGTCTTTAACAGATGGAAATAAAATTATTAATTTGTTCAACAAGAAGTACTCTGGTTATTTTTTATTTTAATTTATGGAAAAGGATGTTGTTTGCATACTGCTAAATCCCTAAAGCTTTTTTTTTTAGTTCTTTTGGTGAAATATTTTTAATAATCTGCTTAATACTGTTAACCTGGAAGTCCTCTTACAATGCATCGATCTTCTATGCTTCATACTTAGAAATGTGCAAGTCTGAAACCGACTTGACTGAACCATTCAGTTACCATTCAAAACCAGTATTGTGTATTGTAGTTCATAATGTGGATTGCTTTAAACAGCACTGATGCAGCTGGAGGGGATGAAGTTCATAGAAGGAGAAAACAAAGGCCTTGGAAGTGCTGGGGGATAGTGTACAAAATAACACCTTGACCTAACAAATGATAAAAATGCTGTCAGACTTGAAAGATGGTAGCTTCAAGTTTTATTTGACTCTGTTTCATTGCTTTTATCTTAAATCTGAAACTTGGTTAACAATTTTTCTTCAATTTTGCATTTTATTTATATGCAAACTTAGCATTATATATACTTGAGCAATTTACCAGGTATGTTCATCATGTCCCCAGGCAAGTGAACTGTGCAAAAGAGCTCTCTGTATTGCTTTGAATTCATTCATTTTAAAAAGAATCGGAAGATCATCGGCTCCAGCCCCCTGCACCAAGCAGGAAAGATGACCCCAGGGTCAGGTGACCCCAGCAAAGTGACTGTCCAGTCTCCTCTTGAAGATTTTCAGGGTAGGCAGTTGTACCACCTCTGGAGGGAACTTATTCCACAGTCTGGACACCCTGACTGTGGAGAAGTTTTTCCTAATGTTGAGCCTGAAATGGTCTTCCAGGAGGTTGTGACCATTACTCCTGGTTTTCACCTCAGGTACCCTGATGACCAGTTACTCACCAAGCCCTCGATGTACCCCTTAGTGTAGTGGTAACCTGCTACCAGCTCCCCTCAGCCTTCTTTTCCTCAGGCTGAAGAGTCCCAGGTCCCTCAGCCTTTTCTCATATGGCTTGCCTTTTAAGACTGTTATCATGTGGGTGGCTTTTCTTTGGATTCTGTCAAGCTTGTCCACATCCTTGTTAAAGTGTGGTGCCCAGAACTGGATATCTGCTGCAGTCTCACCAGTGCTGAGTACAGCGTAAGAAGAATCACCTCCTTGGCTTTGCTAGAGATGCATTGATTGATGCATGCCAGAGTATTATTTGCCATACTGACTTCAGCATTGCACTGCTGGCTAATATTCATACAGTGGTCTGTTATTACCCCCAGGTCCCTTTCATTCATGGTGCTAGTCCAGTTTGGTGCCACCAAGCCTGTAGGTGTATTGGGGGTTGTTCATTCCAAGGTGGAGCACTTTGCATTTCTCAACGTTCAACTTCATCAGGTTCCAATCCGCCCAACTTGCCAGCTGTCTAGGTCCACCTGTAACTGTAGCCTATTTTCAAGCATGGCCACGCTTCCCCATAACTTGGTGTTGTCTGCAAACTTGGCCAGTGAGCTCTTCACCCCTGCATTCAAATGGTTAATAAAGATGTTGAAAAGTACTGGACCAAGTACCAACCCCTGCAGGATACAGCTGCCTGATTCATTCACTACGACTCTCTGGATCCTATCCTGCAACCAGTTTCTCACCCACCTGACAGTTAAGCCCACAATCCTGCAACTTTCTCTCAAGGACATTGTGGGATACTAGATCAAATGCCTTTTGGAAGTCTAGATATACAATGTCAACCTGCTCTCATTAAAATCTGTGGGGAGCATGGCACAGGACACAACGGTGGGAGTCTACTACAGACCTCCCACCCAAAGTCAAGAGCTTGACCAGGAGTTCACCTGGGAACTGGCTGAGGCCGCATGCTCCAGGACCATGGTTGTCATGGGTGACTTCAGTTACCTGGACATCTCGTGGGAGGATCACTTGGCAAAATCTGAGCGGTCGCAAAGCTTTCTCTCATGCGTGGATGACCTCTACCTGACTCAAGTCTGTGGGCCAACAAGAGGCAAAAGCGCTGCTCGACTTGGTGCTGGCTACCGGGGATGACCTAATCAGCAACCTAGTGATCGATGGGAAGCTGGGTGACAGCAACCACGAGCTGATCACCTTCACCATCCACCGTAGAGCTGGCAAGTCAGTCAGCAACACGGAAGTCCTTGACTTCAGGAAAGCTGACTTTGACAAGCTCAGGAGGCTTGTCAGTCAGGCCGGAAGGAACTGTGACCCCAGGGAGAGGGAGTTCAAGAAGAGTGGTTGCTCCTCAAGGGAGCGATCCTCAATGCACAAGCTAAGTCTATTCCATCTCGAAGGAAAGGCAGCAAGAGGGCACAGCAGCCCCTCTGGCTCTCCAAGGACCTGGTAGATCTCATAAGGCTAAAAAGAAAAGCACTTCTTAGTCTTCCATCATTCCAAAGCCTGGCAGGCGAG